CCGTGGGCTCCGCGCAGGCTCGAGGTTTCGCTTCTTGCGAAAGCTGGCGGGCTAGGAACTGGCGGCGTCCACGGCGGGCGCAAACTGAAGGCCAAGGTCCGGCTGCCGGCTTGCACGATACGCTCAGGGAAAAGAGGCGCTGGGCCTGGGGGGGACAGGATTTCCTCGCCTCCTGGGCGCGGCCGCTCCGGGCAGGGCCGCACAAGGCCCCCTTTGTGGAGGGGCCCAGCTCCCGCGCAGACGGAGGGCAGCGAACAATAGCGCAATGTTGCCGCCCGCCGGGCCAGGCTCTCCCGGTTACACCCCGGCCGCCGAAGGCGAGGCAACCGGGTGGCGCTTTTTTATAGTCACAAATATAAAATCGGGGCTTTCTCCCCTTTCGCTCGCCCCCTACCCCAACGCCGATAGAAAGCAGATAAATTTATGAAGGGCGAGCTAAGAGAATAATTACAGGGTGAAGGCCGTTAAATTTTATTTCCAGTCCCAAAGGCAAAACCTGCGATTTTATTGCAAACATCTGGAAGGACCAAGAGGTGGGCACGCTGCTGGTTTAAAATAAAAACAAAAGATTTTATTTCGCGAAAACAAAAAAACATCATTAAAGACCCTTTTGCCCCCACGGACATTTATTTTAAAAAAGTGTGAGAGGGTGGTTGAACAGTCAACGACGCACGCCGTCGCGAAGCGCCCGGCAACCTGAACCAACCCGGAGACTGGAGATGCAGGCTGCGGGAGTGGGCCTGCGCAGTCTCCGCGGGGCTGGCATCGGGCGGGCGTTCCCAGAAATCGGCTCCCTCCCACGCCCACCTGAGGGCTCCAGGCCAGTTTTGCCACCCCATAACTGGGCGCCAATGTGGAAGAAGAAGTGAAAAGTGGGTACCCTGGCCTCATACTCCCAGAAGATTCGATCACAGCAACAATAAAGCCTCAGGTCTGTTCCGCCTCCGACCCATTATCTTGCCTGCTTTGCGTAGTTGTAAAGTATTTAGGGCTCCTTCACTCTGCCAGAGGGGAGACTGAGGCACAGGCCATGCACTGACTTGCCTAAGGTCACACAGTTAAATGCTGCAGGGGACCTGTTCGCTAGGCTTCACCTGACTTGGAGTCCAGAGGGTTACCTCCCACCCCATAGTCGCCTCATAATGTTTTATATCTAGTGCCTAGACAGGCTGAATTCGTTGTAATTGCCTCACCCCCACCTGGTGTCCTGCCCACGTGTTTAAGGGCAGACTAACGTGTCCTGCTGGCAACGATTTCTAACTTTGTTTTAAATTACTCAAAACTGCAAAGTCCCAGCATCTGGTAGATCACCTTGTATTGAGGCATTAGCAGTGGTGGTGGTATTTAGTGTGGAGAAACAGAAGGAAGACTGGTAGGTATGTGGGGGATGTAGGGGCTTGTGTTTCCAGGACTTTCGTCCTTACACTGCAGAACTCTGTTGTTGCATTGAAAAATCAAAATATTTGGACATGGCCAGTTTTAGGTGAGTCGTCCTTATGCTGCTCTTTGCTTCTGGGCGTTCCTCCTGTCAAGGTTAGGACTGGTCATCTATTTCCCATAGGTCCCTACAGGTAGTCAGTGGGGGACCCTGCAGGGGGCATGGCAGGATTGGGGGGGAGGGCTGGCTCCAACTTGTTCCTTCTGCATCAGTGTCAGGCCTGAAATAGACCTGTAGACTCCACCCAAGACCTAAGGTTGGTGGCTGGGAAATCTGGGGATTGCCTCAGGAATTAGCTTCATGCATTGGGCATCCCGCTTTTATTCCTAAAGGTTAAAGGAAAGAGAAACTGGGTCATGAGATTTTGAAAACGCTTTGATATGAATGGAGGAAAATGCATAGCACACTTCCAGATTTCTACATTGAATCCCCCAGTCTTCTTTTTCTTCTTCTCCCAATCACATAAAATTATACACTAAAGTCACAGCCATTAAACCATCCTGCTTAATCTTTCTCCAGACCTCCCTTCCCATCGGTATAGGGTCAGGAACCAAGGAATGCAGGCCCCTGGGGGGCGGGGGAAATTTAGATTGACCCCTACAGTCACAAAAAGAAAATATCTCTGGCCCTCCCATTTACCTAGAGGAAAACTCCTATTTTCATGACTGATCCAAAGCAACCTGGCTTCCCGACCCTTTGATTTGTTTAATGGCCTAATCCACAATTTTAAGATATGTGTATATGGGATGGAGGTGGGGGCAACTTATGTGTGAACTGAAGGAAGGGTATAGGAGCTCCTCTGAGAACTCTATGCAGAGTGTATGTTTGGGGGTAAGGTGCAGATGCATGCTGTTGAAGGCGGGGCTATCTTTTCTATGCATGTCTCTCCAACCTGTGTATATGGTCACCTATATTGTGTGGGCTTTCTGGACCTGCATCTTGGTATGTGGGTAAACCAAAAGTTCTCTTTTTGAGAAACTTTCACAGCCCCAGGGAGGGTGTGTGTCCTATGATGCATCTACTTTGCAATCCAAACTAGGTCTGTGAGGGAAGGCCAAGGTAAGAGGCTGCCAGAGGGAGATGGGAGATACAGGCAATGGGGAGGAGAAAAATGCTGGTAAGGAAGAGAGGCTGGCCCCATCGCTGCTATCCCACTGGGTCGGGTCCCAACAGGCCCCAGTTCCGGGCAGTGACACCAGAATCAGGAGCCGAAAGAGAGATCTAAGCCGAAGGAGAAGGTAACTGGGCGCTCCTGGCCTGCCCTTGTCTCCAGCTCTTTTGCTGAGGCCCCGTTGTGGTGATTGCGCTGTCACTTTCTGCCATGGCTCCTGGAAGCCACGCCAAGCGGTGACTGAGATGGGAGACCTGCGCCTTGCCACCCAGGCTCCTGGAGTTTGCCCTGCAGCCCGGCAGGAGACGCAGAGGGGCTTTGTTGCCGACTTCTAGATCCCAGGGTGCTTGGAGTGCTGCTCAGGGATCCCCAAGCCTGAGAGAGGCCTGGCTGACTCGCACTCAACCGGTGGCTTCCATCATTCTTTCTGCATTTGCTGCGCCACTAGCTTCCTCTTGTCTGGCTGACGCCCAATGTGAGGGGGCTCCAAAAGTGTTCTTTTTTGCTTTCTTCCGAAGAGGCCCAAGGTGCATTCATGACACTCAGCGGTTGCCTCCAGCACCAGAGCACTTCCAACTATAATATCAAGGACTAGATTTACCCTGCGGTTGGGAAGCGAATGTGGCCTTTCAGAGGCCTGACGGTGGAAGGGCAGATGGGCGCTTGTTCTTGGGGGACCTGTGACTGGCCGGGGGCCCCTCTGCCCTAGGCTTGCTGACCCTGTTCAGGGCCTGGCTGTTGGCGGGACTTGTCTGCCCCTCTTCTCTGCCTGTCCCTGGCACCCGGGGAGCTGGCTCTTTCCTGCCTCTTCCCGCGGGGATGGAAGAGTGTCGACCAGGTCTTTGGGATGGGAAGATCAGGTTGTGGTTAGGCCGCAGTCCGCGAAATCCGAGACCTTTTTTTTCCTGCTTCGCAAGATCAACTTCTCGGCTCCTCTGAACTGGCTCTGCTTTGGGCTGCGCCCGCGGTCTCCTGCGGCCCGTGACCAGTAGCGTGACCCAGGAGGGGGTGTGGGAAATGAGAATGGCTAGAGTGCGGGATTGTAAGTTCCAGAGAAATCCCTGACGACCTCTCTGTCCTAAAAGATTTTTTTTTTTTTTTAAGGGTGAAAGGAGGCTCAGCGAGTGGGGAGAGCCGGGTTCCCGAGGTGATCAGATTTGAAGGGCATTCTGAAAAAGCTCTTCCGCTGTCAAAGTTACTGGCTGCCCTTGCCCACCCCTTCTCTGTGGGTTCTCCAGAACAGGCACCCCGAGCAGGCAACGCTCAGATCAGCATCCACGAGGAAGGGAAGGCGAGCGTTTGCTGCGTGCGGGCCCAGTCCGGATAAGTCTGCGGAGCGCGCGGTAAGCCGGGCGCCCCACCGCCGGCCTCTTGCTTGGAGGGAGCCGAGCCTACGTCTCCTTCTCCACCAGGTAGAACTGGAAGGAGGAAGCGATCATTAGGTTTACAATTACAAGACCCTGGATAGTAACCGGGCGTCTTTGTTTATTTCTTTCGTTTTGCCTTAGCCAGAGTTGCTTAGACATCGTACCACAGGAAAGTAACCTGTGTGGCGAAATCCCGGCGGAACCAGAAGAGCTAATAGCGTCTGGGGGCAGGCGCGAGATTATCGGAGTCGTTTTCGGGCGTTTTTGGACAGGTTGAGAGCCCCCAGACTCCAGATCGGTAATTAAAATGACTCTGGGCTTGCAGCGTCTATGAGACTTAGCAGATTTGGAAGGGAAAGGTACGGATTTGGGACCGGCAGGAGTTTGGAACGGCGAAGATCAGACCTCGACTTTCGGCCCTCCTCCCTCCCCCATGAAGAACCCGTGGGGAACCGGGAAGCCACGGGTTAAAGTCGGCCCAGGAGCATCCCCCGGACTACCCGTGCGGAGCCTTGGCCCGAGCCTCAGTCTCTCCCCTCCTGTCATTGGCCCGCGCTCTCAGGGTTTCTCCTGTTCCCTCCTCGCCATTGGCCGGGGGCTGGCTTTTTTTCCCCTCAGTCTTTCTCTTCCTCCCCCTCCCTCTCCCTCACCCCACGGACAGGAGCGCACCGCCTGCCCCCAGCTTCTCGGGAAGGGAGGAATTTAGAAAAAAAGTTTCCCAGAAGTTTGGATCAGAGGAAGGACGGGAAGACCAAGAGAGGAAGAGGGAGAGGGAGGAGAAAAAGGGAGAGGGAGGAGAGAGAGAATAAAAAAAAGATGAAGTCCAGTCTGCACAGCCTGTGAGCGCCTGCCCCGGTGGGTGGGAAGCAGGACTTGGGCGCTCATGCGGCGAGCGGGCGGCGCTCCGGGCGCTCGTTCCTAGCCGCTGGGGCAGCTAGGGGCGCCGGTCGGAGCCGGCTGCTGAGGGAGGGGGAGGACGCAGGGGGAGGGTGCAAAGGACCCGCAGCGCCGCCGCCTCTGTCTCGGCCGCCGCGCCGCCGCCTCTCCCGGGCCCGGCCCGGAGGGCGCTCCGAGCGTGAGGGCGCGGGCTGCTCCCTCAGTAGCGGGGGCGAGCGGAGGCCGGGGTGCGGGCGGCTAAGATGAGTGAAAGGAGAAGATCTGCAGTCGCCCTGAGCTCGCGAGCACATGCCTTCTCCGTTGAAGCCTTGATCGGCTCAAATAAAAAGCGGAAACTGCGAGACTGGGAGGAGAAGGGGTTGGACCTGTCCATGGAGGCGCTGAGCCCCGCGGGCCCACTCGGAGACACGGAGGACGCGGCCGCACAGGGCCTGGAACCTCACCCGGGTGAGTGCGCAGGACAGACCGAGGGAGGCGGGCGGAGAGGGGACGCCGGGCGGCCAGCCCGCGGGCGGAGTGGTGTGGAAGGAGGCCCTGCTAGCTGACGCCCTGCCTTGCTCCAACGCGGGTTTCCTTTTCTTGGCGCAAACGTCTTGAGCCTTCCCCAAATTCGCGGCAAACAACTTGAGGGGAACTGAGCCTTGCATTTTCGTCGCCAACCTCAGGCAAGGAGGCCTCGCTCGCATCCCTTTCTCTTCTGGGAGCGGAGCGCACTATTCTGGTGTTCACAGCTGAGCGGCCGCAGGCCCATGGGGTCAAGGAGGGGCGCAGATCGAAGGCGACCGCAGGAGTGGAGAGGGGCTGGGATTCGCTTCTGAGAGCTCCAGAGGACTGGCGCGGAGTTCTCGGGCTCGACACCCAGTCCCGGGAAATGCCCAGTTTGTCCCATTTAGCCTTCGACCTCGGTCCTCGCCCTTCCCCCACCAACTTTTCTGGGACTCACGTTCTTGTGTTTCCCCTACTCCGGGGAGGACGGAGCATAATTATATTTCTACTTCGTTGGCGTTTATGGAAAAAGGATCTATGTTAGACCCCTTACCCTGCGCCCTGGGTCACTCTTCAGGGCCCACATCTCTGTGTACTGGGGAGGAGCGGAGCGATTAATTTGTGTCTCAGATCTAAGCACATTATATGCACACAACACGTAAAACACAGAGCGGATGTTGGTGTCTGTATTTTAGCAGAAACCTGGGAGGGTAGTTGAAGGGGGGGGGGACAACTTAACGTTTTATATTAAGTGCCAAGATTTCAACTGTGCAAAACAGCCCGGGGGAACAGCTGTTGTCGGAAGAATCTTGCGCGCGCGCCCGCGCGCGCGGACACACACACACACACACACACACACACACACACGCACGGTCGCAGCTTGGTTTAGCGGTTTCAGAAGCTTTCCAGCCAGGACTTCTGCTGCCATTCTGGAGGTGATCCTGCTGACCAGCTAGGGTTAGGGAGTAAACCTGGGTCAGCGCGCCAGGAGCGGAAAGCCAGGGTGGGGGCGGCAGCCCGCAAAGGGATGGGGGCGGCCACGGGCCGAAAGAGCTTGGGGACTGAGCTTGGGGCCCAGGGGCTTGGGGGCTGGAGAACTGGCCGACCCAGGGAGGGACAGCTGTCGCTTACATTTTCTCTTTCGGCAGTGACAGTTCAATTTCCATGCTCCTGAGGCTAATAATAACGCGATTAGCGGGTGACTTGCAGAGACAGAGTTTTATGAATTCTCCGTGTTCTTGTGGCCCGTTACGGTATTTGAGTTTAGTGCTGGGGAATTATTTTTATTAGTCGATGAAAAGAAAATTAAAAGGAGATTTATTTCGTCCGCTCAAATCTTTCCCTGTATTTGGAAGCGGGTGCCTGTCCACGCGGACCCCTGTGTGGGCAATCCAGAAAGGAACGCGTGGCTAATGTGTGTTTCCCATCTCTGGCCAGACCCTGTTTCCTCACCGCATTTATATGTTGTGAAAATCTCACTTGTGCCTTCACACGGTTTAGTGGGAGTTCTTTCAGGCCTCATGACAACTCATGGTTTGGGAGGTTATTTTGCTTTCCCGACAGTGGAAAAGACAGAAGTTGCTTAACTGCGCGTGTCAGACACCCTGTCCGCGGGTACTTTTCTCTAGGGAGGGGTCCAGGTCCGCCGGAGCTGGTCTAGGGTCGCTTGTTCAAAAGGACCAATACGTGGGGTCATGATCAGAGACTCAGCTTGCAGTTTTCTCTTTCCGGCGTTTACATCAGCCATAGTGAGGAGAGAAATGGTTGGGGCAAAGAGAGACCATTCCAGAGACATAAACGTGAGGACCTGTTGTTCAAAATGCTGTTCTCTTGCTCCCACAGTATGGGGGTAGGGGGTGAGAACCTAACATAGGACTTTATGTCACACAGAGTTCAGTCGACCCCTTCCCATTTCATCTTTTTTTTTTTTTTTTTTTTTAAGAAAAAGATGGGTGTTTGGATTGGAGAAAACGAAATATGTTTGTGGGGTTGAGGCCGGGAGGAGGAAGAAGCTGAAAGCCGAGAGTACTCGCGGGCCTTCTGCAGCGCCAGGCTGCCAGTCCGGCCTGGCTGCGTCGTGCACCGAAGGGATCTCCAAGTTGGAGCCCCCGCAGTGGCCAAAGCTTTCTTACGAACCGGACATAGAAAGAGAAAAGAGCTTTCAGAAAAACTGCTTGGTGGCGTGGAGCCTCCGCAGTCCCCAGAGTGGAGGAGGCGGAGCTGCCGGCTCTGCGGAAGGCGAGTCCAGGGATTGGGGTTCCCTGTAGGCCTTTCTTTCTCTTCTAATTCGGCGCCCTAATGAACACACATCTTTAAAGGTGTGTATGGTGGTGGAGGTCGGGGAGGGGCACGGGGAACTCCATTGTGCCCGGGGCCATGTCTCTACCGTCGTTGGCCTCAAATTGTTTAAACTCTCTTCCCGGATTAGGACAGAGAGCAGGCTGGACCCGCCGTGTGGCTCGCCTGCGCTAGGCCGATGATAAGAAGTCAGGAATGGGGGGTGGGGGGGGGGAAACGACAACAGAAACAAAATTGCCACGGAGCTTGGGGAAGGATTAAACAAACACGCATACAGACACAGGACACCCGCGCAAAGCAACTGTGTTTATCATTTTCACCATTGCCTCCCTCTGACTGGTACCTCGGTTTCCAGCCCTCCCTGTCCGTGCCTTAAAATCCCAGGATTCTGAGACAACCCAAGGGTTAGATTTTAATGTTTAACTTTTATTCAAAGACGTGGCCTTTTGCTTTTTCACAGTCCGTTTTTCTTTCCACGTCCGGACAGAGCTGGCTTTAGTTGGCGCCGAGCGCCCGCAGCCTGGGGCGTCAACCTGCAGCAGCGGGGGACCATCCCAGTCTGCGCGCTGTAGGAACTCACACATCAGAGGACACACAGTATGTATTTCAAAATTTTCCACCGAGGCTACTGGTCCCGAAAAACCCCGAGGCCCAAAGGACCTTGGAGAAGGGCCTGTGAGGTGCCCTCATTATTGCCAGAACTCCGCGTCTTTTGGAGAAGCCGCCAGGACGCAGCCGCAGCGGGTTCGGGAGGGTCTCCGAGGAGCCTGACTCTCGGGCCTGCTTGCCCCCGCCTCTCACCAAGCAGCAACAGGAACACTTTTGAGCCAGGATCGCCCGGAACAGCTGCTCCGGCTGCGGCCTTGGAAGTATATTTCAGGCACGCGGCGGCGCCATCTGCGCTCGGACCCCAGCCCCGGCTCCACCCGGCTTCCCCAGCTCCAGTTTGGAGTTGGGCCTTTCCCGCCCAAATCCACAGCCGAGTGCGGCCGAGGTCCGGTCTCCCGCGGAGCGAAATAATTCAAACCTTCTGCGAAAGGATTTCCCCCTCCAGGGCCTGCGGCCCTGAGGCTTGCAGCCGCGGCGCTCCAGAGGCCTAAGAAGGTGGCGGCGTACGCGGGTGGGCACACAAAGCAGGCACACTCACGAACATGCGGGCAGATCTGTACTCCGCGCACACGTGCACATATGTCAGGCTTGCGCGGCCAGTGCACAATCCGTAGTGAAATGAGACCGGCAAAGCCTGTGCAGTGCCCCCAGGGCACTTTCTTATCCCGAATTACCGAGATCGACTGTACACGCGAATTAATCTGCCAGTTTATGGCTTGTGTGCTCAGAGTAAGACTCCCAATATTTTAATCCTGACATCACCCCTCCACCTACCCCCAATCCCCAATAGGGAAACACAGGGTCAAAACGGAGGAAATGACTGTTCACTGACGTTTAAGTAATGGAGAAAAAGCGGTGAGTTTGAAGCCAGTGGGGAGACTGCTTGCGCGGGGCAAGAACCAGCCAGGGCGCTGGCCGGAGCTTGGACTGCCCGGCAAGGGTGTGGGGTGCGCTGGGCGAGAAGCCAAAGTGTATATGCCTGAGGTAGAGTCCCGGGCGAGGAATACCGGTTCCTCAGTGGTACGTGCGCCCCTCCGCCAGCGCAGGCCTCGAAGGTGCCAGGCCGGGACCCCGAGGATGAGCCAAGTGTGGTGCCTGCTGGACATGCGCAACGCCTGCCAAGTCAAAACGGCCTTCCGCGGTGGCCGCGTCTTTGGTGAGTGACCTTGTGTGAAGGGGAGTGAGGGGGTAGGCTAGATCTGAATTCGTCATAGGCTGGCGAGGATGGTTGTGCTCGGCTGCCAAAAGCCCTTTTGTCCCTCAGGTCGGAGGGTGGCTACATCGGACGCCCTGCGGGTGGTGGCAGTGGCTCCTGGGAGGTGGGCAGGGCTATGAAGATGTTCTGTTTTACGCTGGCCCTGGCGCGGTGGCATAATAGAAGCCCCCAGGAGGAAGGAAACAATTCTAACCCCCCCATCCCGTAGATGGAGCGAACTGCTGGAAGGCAGTGGGGAGGACAGGGAAATGGGAAAACCCTAATGCCCAGCATTTGGAATGTGATGGAAGGGAGGCGGAGTGTGCTGTGTTTTGCACCGTCATCCACCGTCCCCCGCGCCCTTCACAGGTCCTTGTGAGGCGTGGAGAAGACGCTGGGGTAACAGGCGAGCTTGCGGGGTAGCGGTCTCTCCCTTCGCGGCTGGGCGGTGCAAGGCCCCTCGCCCGGCTCCGCCGCCCGCCTCCGCCGCCCGCCTCCGCCCCTCGGAGACTGGTCGGCTGCGCCGGGAGAAGCCTTTCCTGGACAGATCAGCTCACAGCCTAGGCGCGCAGCGCTTCTGAATTCGCGTCTTCCACGCCCCACCCAACACCATTTCTTATTGAACACTTTATTTGGGTTCAGAGCTAGCCACTTTAGGGTTCCTGATTTTATAGGTTAAACTCCCAGAAAGAAAAGTTTGCGGGGTGACGTTCATGCAGGGGGAAGGGGGAATTAAATTTTTAACAGTGGAGCTCGTACTGAAACTATATTGACATATACCCGCTGCCGGTTTCCTGCTCCCCCATTACTTCAAATAGTATCATGAGCATCTTTTAAATATTAAAGAAAATTAGTTTAA